TCCATCCGTCCATCCATTCAGTACACTTTGCGAGTACCGGGTTGTTTGCCCTCCTTAATTTTTCTTGACATAGATTAAATAAAAGGTGTTGGAAACATTCCTCAGATATTTTAATCCAACATGAGAGCATCATGGTTCGATGCGTTGTTGGTTGAGTGATGATATTCTGCAGAACTTTTTGGTAATAAGTGGTCATTTCAACTGGATGGATTATTTTAGTATTATTTTTTAACCCTTCTTTGTAAAGCCTAGAGAAAGATGTCTGTAAAAATCCCAGCAGATCAGCAGATAATAAAATCCTCAAACAAGCCGACCTGGCACTAGCCTGGCCCTTGCCTTCCTACGCATTTCCGCTCAATTCTAGTTTCGCTTCTCTGCTCTGTCTGGGATTTCTCCCATTGACAAGGATTTCTTCGGGAGAATTTCCATCCGGGCCAATCAGAGAACAGAATGTCGATTTTCTGCGCAGTGTCTGCTAGTTAGTTTAGCATACGGCAGTGGAGGAAGTGAATGAAGCCAGTCTGTGTTGATAAGGCTTCCAAATTAAAATAAATTAATCTGACAAAGCAGCAGCTCTCATTTACAGTCGTCTCGTTCGGCTCGGTACTTTTCTCCTCTCAGTAGGGTTGTTTACAGCACACGCGATTTCCGGTTAGCTTCTTAGCTTAGCCTCCGTCACAGCGACATACGTTGCGGCCAACCGATCCAATCATTTTAAACTTCAGCAGAGGCCACGCCTCCAGCAAGAATCGCTTCTCTATAGCTGTGAGTCCAGAGCCTCGTACGAAGCAAAGTGAAGGACAAGGGTCTGGTTTTAACCAGGCTGCCAATAACCAGAATATATTTAGAAATGACAAATAAAGACACTGTTTAAAAAACTTGTGTTTCTGAGTGGACAAGGCCTCAGGCCCCTAAAATGTTTTCATCTTAGACAGAATAAGAATTATTATTTTTTTCTTTCATCAGATACTGATGTCTGAAAGTTTTTTGAGCAAAACAAATCATATAAAATGGCTTCAGCTTGAACATAATGGCAAAGTGATACAAATCTGTCTGTTATCAGCAAAACAGATGTGAGAAAATCTCTCAAGTCTCCATGGTGAACATAAACATATGCATAACATTATGTCCAACATGGTCCCAGATACATACAGTAACTAAGGCAGGCAGACAGGGTAAAAAAAACTGTGAAAAGCATGAAAGCTGTTTTTTATTTGGCTAGTAACAAGTGCCCGTTTACACGGTTCTGGTTTTAAATGTGTGTGTATGTGTGTGTGTGTGTTACAGTGGTTAACAGATCCCCATCTGTTGCCTTCTGGACTCCATACTATTCCTGGGTTGCCAAGATACCCGGTTTCCAACTTGATGCCAGCCGAGTTGTAATTTGAACACAGATGGCTACAACCAGAGAGGTAAGATGGCTGCAGAGGGAGGAAGTGAAACAATCCCACAGGTGTGCAGACAGTCAAGCAAATAAAAAGCTCTTTGTTGGGATTTGTGCGTTCAGTGCGATAATCAAAAAGGAAATAAATCAGGCCTCTTGCACTCTTTGCAAATGTGCATTTAACTTCCTGTTAGTGGATTTATTCTGACCCTTCCTCTGCCTCTCACGCAGCTAATTCTTTCCTTGTTTTCCTCGTTCACTCTCCTGTCTGGCCAGCTGGTTAAATGGAGGGTTGATTACTGGAGGCTGTTTCCCATCTGGTCACAAATGCCCTCAGCATGATTACTCCCTGGTACATGCAGTTAGAGGCCACACACGTACGGACCTGCACAGATACCTCCGACTACACTTACACACTCACTCCCTCAGCTCCACATCAGCCACTGTGGTCCTCAGTCTCACCAGTGTTTGTGGTATTGACCGAGGCCTTTATTTGCTTTAATGAAGAGCTGTGGGGTGAAGGAGTCTGAGCAAATTAGCACAATGGGTGGCCAAAAGCCTGGGCAACATCTATGCTTTAATGCTCCATCATTTGACATACAGTCATATGAAAAAGTTTGGGCACTCTTCTTAATTTTCCTGGTTTACCTTTATAAATCATTGATTGTTTGGATTAAAAATATCAGTTAAACATATCATATAGGGGACAAACACAGTGATATTTGAGAAGTGAAATGAAGTTGATATGATTTACAGAAAATGTGCAATAATTGTTTGAACAAAATTATGTAGGTGCATAAATTTGGGCACCATAAAAAAAACTTAACTCAATATTTGGTAGATACTCCTTTCACAGAAATAACAGCCTCTAAACACTTCCTATAGCTTCTAATGAGAGTCTGGATTGTGGCTGAAGGTATTTTAGACCATTCTTCTTTACAAAACATCTCTAGTTCATTCAGGTTTGATGGTTTCCAACCACAGACAGCTCTTTTTAAGTGACACCACAGATTTTCAATAATATTCAGGTCTGGGGACTGAGATGGCCATTCCAGAACGTTGTACTTGTTCCTCTGCATGAAGGCCTCAGTAGATTTTGAGCAGTGTTTAGGGTGGTTGTCTTGTTGAAAGATGCAGCCCCGACTTCAGCAGCTTCAGCTTTGTCACTGATTCCTGGACATTGGTCTCCAGAATCTGCTGATATTGATYGGAATCCATGCGTCCCTCAACTTTAACAAGATTGCCAGTCCCTGTACTGGCCACACAGCCCCACAGCATGATGGAACCACCACCAAATGTTACTGTATGTAGCAGGTGTTTTTCTTGGAGTGCTGTGTTCTTTTTCCTCCATGCATACAGACACTTGTTCTGCCCAAATAACTCTATTTTAGTTTCATCAGTCCACAGCACCTTATTCCAAAATGAAGCTGGCTTGTCCAAATGTGCTTTAGCATACCTCAAGCAGCTCTGTTTGTGATGTGGGCGGAGGAAAGGCTTCCTCTGCATCACTCTCACATACAGCATCTCCTTGTGTAAAGTGTGCTGAATAGTTGAACGATGTACAGTGACTCCATCAGCAGCAAGATGTTGTAGGTCTTTGGTGCTGGTCTGTGGGTTGACTCTGACTGTTCTCAACATCCTTCACTTCTGTTTATTGGAGATTTTTCTTGGTCTGTCACTTCGATCCTTGACTCGAACTGTATCTGTGGTCTTCTATTTTCTCACAATGTTTCTCACAGTGGAGACTGAAAGCTGAAATCTCTGAGATGGCTTTCTGTATCCTTCCCCTAAACCATGACGGTGAACAATCTTTGTTTTCAGCTCATTTGAAAGTTGTTTTCAGACTCCCATGCTGCGACTCTTCAGAGAAGATTCAAAAAGGAGAAAAACCTCCAATTGTCCCCCTTAAATGCCCTTTCTCATAATTGGAGTCACCTGTGTATGGAGGTCAAGGGTCACTGAACTTACCAAACCAAATTTAAGTTCCAATAATTAGTTCTAAAGGTTTTGATATCAATAAAATGACAACAGTGCCCAAATTTATGCACCTGCCTAATTTTGTTTAACCAATTATTGCACACTTTCTGTAAATCATAAAAACTTCATTTCACCTCTCAAATATCACTGTGTTTGTCCCCTATGTGATATATTTAACTGATTTTTTTATCCAAACAATCAATGATTTATAAAGGTAAATCAGGAAAATTAATAGGGGTGCCCAAACTTTTTCATATGACTGTATCCTGCACAGGACAGGAATAACTTAAAAGGACTTTGTTAAATGTATAACTCAATGTGCTTAATGTATAACTTATTTTGTCAAATTTTACTTTTTCTTAATTCATTCAAGTCCATGAGCTGGATGTTAATGGAGTCTGCTTCAGAAAGCTAAACCAACACTTAAACCAAACACTGTGTTGTGTTATTTGTAGTATTTTTTATTGGAGTGTGTGCATGTATGCGTGTGTGTGTCCTTGTTTTTACTACAGAGTGAGGACCATTTGCGCCATTTGTTCAAAATAGCCAACTGTTATACACTTGCAATTGTTTTTTAGCGCCAATGTACATGATTATCAAACTAGACAAGCAATTGAAAGTAAATTTATACTTCCAAAGGTTCGCACAAATTCCACGAAGATGTCGGCTTTATTTAGATTTATGTTTTTATGGAATACTTTACCTAAAAACATTGGAAATACATCAGGAAAATGAATTTCGAACAACTTTAAGAAGATATTTGCAAGGAAAACAATTTTATTGAATAATTTATTATTATATTAATTATTCTGTTCATTATAGTAAATGAAAATTAGTGACTGATTAGTTGTTTTGTATCCAGTCTTTATTTTACATGTTAATCTGTGGCCTTTATTTCTATTTTTATTATATTTGTATTTATTTTTTGTTTATTGTTTAGTTATTGTTGTTTTGAATTTATGTAAACTATGTATGCTATGTATTTTGTGTTGTTTTATGTTTAATGTATGAACCCCAGAAAGAGTAGTTGCAGGAACTGCAACTCGAAATAAAAGAAAGAAAGAAAGTTACTATCAAAGTGAGGTCTTTGATGCAAAATGAGGACCTTTTCAATGTCCTCACTTTGTTTGCAGCTCTGCTGTGCTTTACTAGTTAGGTTTAGAGGTATGGTGTGAATTAAGTTTTGGTTCAGGTTAGTGTTGGGAATAATGCAGTAATGGTTAGTTTTAGGGAAAATTTTGGGGCTAGACATAAACAGTTACAAAAATGAATGGAAGTCAATACAAAGTCCTCAGTTTGATGCAAGTACAAGGATGTCTGTGTGTGTGTGTGTGTGTGTGTGTGTGTGTGTGTGTGTGTGTGTGTGTG